GTATTATTATATAAATACTAATTAAAAATGTTAATAATCAATATAGATATTATCTATTAAATATTGATTATCAAATGTTTTCCATTAACTGGTGAAATAAATTCAATATTTTAATATGGTCAAAAATTGTTTAAGTTATATTATATTCAAGATAATAAAATATTGTCTTTTAATGTTATTTTTTGTAAGAATATTTGTTTATAATGATCGTTATCTTATTGTATAGAATTATTCGAATAATGTGGATTATTAATCGAATTAGTTTTTATAGAATTTAAAATAATGATTTTATTTAAAAATCTAAATTATATTTATTTACTTTTCTTATCTATATGTTTTTATCTTATGTTTTATTAAAATAAATCATTTAAGATTTTTTTCTATTTATCAATTTAATCATTTTTTTGTTCTATTATTAATAGAAATCTATTGATTAATTTTAAGAAAAAAAAAATAAAGAAATAAGAAAAGTTGTAAACTTTATTTCGTAAAGATATAATTATATATAATAAATATAGTTATTAAAAATCTTATTCTTTTAATTCTTTTCATCTGATTAAGATAAATATCTTATTCAGTTTTTTTTCTCAATATATAAATACTAATTCAATTTTCCTTTTTATAGGCTTTTTTTGTTAACCATTTATACGAAATAAAATATTCGCCAAAGATGACCTACTATCAGTGCTTTTTTAGTATAACTTTATTAAATAAATGAATAATGTCAACTTTTAGAATAGATTAGCTGTCTTCACAGGTGACGATCATTACTGATTATATCAATCTTACCGGTTTTCCTTATCTCTAATAGAGAATTGTGTATTAAATTTGATATTTTTCAAAAGAAATTTTTTTCCTTAAAATATCATTTCTAATAAAAAAAATTTTTTAAAAAACTGATCATAAATTCGGATTCATCAACTCTGATTACTTTTGTTAAAAGTTAATAGAGAAGGATAATCTTTTTTCCTCCCTATTAAAGATAAGGAAAATATTAAAGATAAGGAAAACCGCACACACACTGATATAATGAGTAATGATCATCACCTGTAGACACACCTAATCTCTTGTAAGAGTAATCTCTTGTAAGAGTAATCTCTTGTAAGAGTAGCCATTATTCATTTATTTTATTATTATTTTTCAAAGATAAATCAATGGTTAAGATTTATTTATTAAAGATAAACAATTGATAAATGATTATCTATTATAATAAAGAAGAGTAAAGATGACGGGTCACTCCTTTGACCGACTATGATCAAAGATGAATGATCAACAAAAATCGATAATCATAAGACAATTTTAATATGATCAATAAACAAAAATGAACATGACGAGAGTAGAATTGAGACGATGGATGATATTCATCGGACAGACCGACTGATAAATTATGCTATTTTCATCTATAATAAAAGTCGATTAGCCTTCGAAGAAGAAATATATTATTTTTAAATTCGATTCAGATATTTTAATGTTTTTTTCTTATCTGATTTTTATTCTAAAAAGATATTTTTTAATGATATATATTATTTTAACTTTTCCATTTTTATTGATATAAACACATTAAAATGATTGAAATAAGTTTGAAAAAACAAAAATCAATTCAAATAATAATAATCAATTGATGAATAAATATAGAAAAATGTTATTTCTATTAATCTATTCGAAAAAAAAAAAATTGTAAATAAATGATGACTAATCTTATTCTTTATTATAAATCGATATATGTTCAATGATTTTCATAGATAATTATATAAATCGATAGTCTAAACATAAATATTTATTTTCTTTTCTCATAGACGAAAAAAAAAAAGAGATTTTGAATAGTAATCGATAATTACGTTAGAAAGAAAATTAAAACAAACATATTATATTGTCTATAGACTGATATTATATGTCGTATGATTGGTGAGTGAATCGGTCAACCGTGTAACATGTGTATATATAAGCGTATGAATATGGTAATGAGAATAATCCATTGTTACTCGAAAACATAGGTTTGATAAAGAGCATTGAGGTGTAAACTGAAAATCGTTCTTTTCTTTTGTCTTTACTGTATAGATATCTATTCACCTACATCAATCATTAGATATTTGAATCAAACCATCGACGATATATATTATTATACAACAAAATAAACATTTGCTTTTTTTTATTCGGTATGTATTTTAATAAAATTTCTTATCTATTTCAATTGAAATATAAGAAAAAAAACCAATAAGAATATATTCATAATTATTATCATTTAACCTATTGAATATTTTTTTTCTTTTTTTTCTATTAATAAATTCATCGATAATTATATAGAATTTAAATAGAAAAAAAAAACCCAATTTTATATGGATTTTAATATTTGAATAGAAATAGATAATTAACAAATAAATATTTATTTTATTCTATAATTAAAGATCTATTTATTTATTTATTATCTTATCAATTGAACAATAAAACATAATTTATATGGATTTTTTAATATTGATTAAAAAATCTATAAGAAATTTAAAATTCTCTTCAATTTCTATTAAATCTCGATTAACCTTTCCCTACGATTTAATGTGTGAAGTTTTTTTTTGATAAAAAAGGCATAAAGCTGTTTGATGTAGGTAGATAAATGAAGGCAATGATAATTGTGCGTTAGTCAAAGTAATTCAAGGTAATTTTTCATTGTTTGTATATATATATTCTAAAGTGTATATATATTCTAAAGTGTATATATATGTTGTATAAGATTGACTTGATGATATAAATATTCCTATCCTTGATAAAATATTCTTAGTAAAGAGAAAGGTATCAGTTGAATCGATATTCGATTATAAATATGTATCCAATACCATCTATACCATATACTTTTAATCATCAATTATTTAATCAACAATCGAGAAGATATTTCAAACATCAAAATGGAATTATACAAAGTAAAAGTCGAAATAATATTAAAATTCAACAAACAAATTTACTTCCAAATAGTCAATCATATAAAAATCAAATTATTTTTCCATTATCAAATTCTAACATAATATCAAATAATCCATCAATATCACATCAATTTGAAAAATTTACAAAAAAACGTATGTTTTTGTTATATATTTATTTAATATATATTATATTGATTTAATAAAGGTACACCAAAATTACTTATGCCAAGTCGATCTCATCAAGAACATTTATTTTGTCAAGAATTAAATCCGAAAAATATTCTATCAAAACGATGTTTACCATTGTTTAATTCACGTTCAGTTGGTTGTCTAGAAGATCGAATAAAAAAAGAACGAAAATCTCATACAATGCCTCCATTATCGAAAATTTTAGGACCATGTTCAACTCCAAAAGCTAAATTATTTGCAAGTATTATTGCACCTACTGATGCTCAAGCAATTAAAGCAAATCAATTAGCACAAAATCTATCAAATATTAATTCAATTTATGATTCAAAATCAGATCGTGAAACAATTGATGATGATACACCTATTTTTGTTCATGTTCAATATGATCCTCAAACTAGTTCAAGACCAGATCAAAATATTATTAGACAAACTCTCAATAATCAATTATTCAATCAGATAAATAAACAAGAAGCAATTATATTGAATTTTCTTGGACCAAATATTAAGGCAAACTTACCTGTTAGAGTAGAACAACAACAACAACAATCTTTTAATCAATCTACTCAATTTATTAAACAAAATTCATCTCGTCGTATTCCTGTTTATTGTCAAAAAGAACAACAAATAAACGATGGACAAAATCATTTTCTTCCGCCGAGAGTTTCTCGACCATCGAACAGCTATCCTTCCATGGCTACTATCTCTCACCCAGTTCAGTCTTTTCTAAAGAATGAAAATCTAAGTTCATCAAAAGTTCCAAGACCATTTATAAATCGTCAACAAGTTCAATCTAATAAAGTTCAACAATTATCTAATCGATATATAAATTCGTCACGATCTAACGGATATTATAAGACAGGTTTTTCTATTTATTAATAATTAATTAATTATTATTTATAAAGAAAAAAAAAATCTCTAAATAATAATTAATAATTGAGTTTTTACTTTAGAAGTTGATAATTTCAAGGAAATAAATCGTAAAATGTCATATCAACCATCAACAATAAGTGATCAAGAAATTCTTTCAAGAATATCATATACAACTCCTTCTTCAAATGAAATATATCGACCAACAGCATTAACAGATACACCAGAATTAAGTAGAGAAAATTTACTTGTTATGCTTAAGTATTTGATAAAATAATTTAAATAAAAAAAAATGTTTTTCTCTATTTTGATAAATATTTTTGTATAATAGTCAAATTCCTGATTTACAAGGTCGTCGATTTAAGATTGAATATGCGTCAAGTGGTATACCTGAAGCTTATCCAATTCCAATAAATTTAGGTTCTGCTGCAAATACATATCCTGAACCAGTTTATATAGATAGATTACCAAATGATGTTATTCAACATGTTAAAAGTAGTAATAATCCGGCAATAACAGCTGCATTAGAAGCAACTATTCAACGAGAACAATATTTACAACCAACAGTTATATCTCAACCAACAAATTCATCATTATATTATCAACCACCAACTGTTCTACATCATGCAGCACAACCTCATGAACAAGTTCAACAATCTCGACCATTTATATCAAAAAATCTTGATAAAAATACTCAACTATTATCATCATCATCATCATCATCATCATCATCAACATCAAGTGAAGAAAGTGATAGTGAAGATTTTGAAAGTATTTCATCAGGAAGAGTAATATTGATATAATATTCTATATTTTTTATATTAAAAATATGTGTGTTTTTTTTAAAAATTTGTTAGCCAAGAAATTCAATTGAAACAGTTGGTAAACAATATTCATCAAAAATCTATCCTGAAAATGAATATGATTAAATCTAAATATAAAATCTGTTGGTTAATGTATTCGTAGTATTAGATTTGTTTTATCTTATTTTATTTATTAATTAATCATTCATTTTACATAAAGACAATAGACGAGTTTTATTTATTCAATTCAATTATTTATTATTCATCAACTTTTTCTTTTTCTTCTCTTCTCTTTTTATATATTTTTCTTTTTCTTTTGCTTTTATTATTAAAACAAAATTTATCGAACAGTTTTCATCGTTAAGTTAATTTAAGTTAAGTTTATTTATCTATTTATATTATTTATCTATTTATATATTCGAAAAAATATAATCTCATTTCTTTTATTTACAAATATTTTATCTTATATTATTTTCAAATATAAAAAATACATATCAAATATAATATCAATTAGAATATAAGAGATCAATTAGAATATAAGAGATCAATTCGATATATATTATTAGATTTTACCCTAATAAAAGCATCCTTTTAACAAATAAAATACCATTTAATAACAATTTATTCAATAAACATATCTATTACAATTATATAACAAAAGCAAGACGGGAAAATAAAAGCAAATCTCAATATGATCTTAATTAGAAAGAGACAGAATATTATAGAATTTGTTTAAAAGAATTTACATATTCGAGTATTTCAAAGATAAAAACAAAATATATTAAATATATAGTTAATATTGATTAATATATTATTATTTCAGGTTAACAAAAGCAATGTTTAAGTCATGTCGAATAATAGGTAAACTACGAATAAGTAAAGCAACGATATATAAAATACGAAATAAATAAAGAGTGATCTATTTTTAATCTTATTTAATAGAAGTGAAAAGAAAAAATGTGATAACAAATGAGAATTGATAATAGAGGAGTCAGATCTTGTTTTTGTTTGTTCAATTTTGGGACGTATAGAATCCATCATTGGAAACATAATTCTATTGCAATTTAATGTAATGTTCTACCATTGTCTGAATTGTATAACACATACGACAGATTATACATAATAATAGTAAGTTTTTGTTTACTTATATGTAAAAATCCATATAATTATATAATTATAAATGTATGTATTATTCATGGGAATTATTGATATGGTTACTCTCTTCTCTATTTAGAGAAACTTTTTATTGTGTATGTAACGAAGGTGATGGAAATTTCAAGACATTATCAATTTTTTAATTCTTATTGGTTATGCATTATCTATGCTTGTGGTAAAATTGGTTATGTATTATTAGTTATTTCTGGTTTTGGTTATTACTATTACTATTGTCAATTATTCTGTTATGATGATAGTACAGGTGTGATAGTTCATTATTAGTATATGTATTTATCGAAATGGTGATAGAGATAAACCACCTATTCCTACTTTTATTATTCCAACTGATGCTATTTTATTTTATTTGGTTTGCTACTGATGTTAGTGGTATTATTAACAAAAAATATTATCATTAAAACTTACTATTATTATGTATAATCTGTCGTATGTGTTATACAATTCTGACAATGGTAGAACATGACATTAAATTGCAATAGAATTATGTTTCCAATGATGGATTCTATACGTCCGAAAATTGAACAAACAAAAACAAGATCTGACTCCTCTATTGTCAATTCTCATTTGTTATCAGATTTTTTCTTTTCACTTCTATTAAATAAGATTAAAAATAGATCACTCTTCATTTATTTCGTATTTTATATATATCGTTGCTTTACTTATTCGTAGTTTACCTATATGCAAAATTCATATGATTATATCATTATAATTGTATGTATTATGTCGAATAATGTTAACAGTATAAAATAAAATAAAATAAAAGAGAAAGTCTATGATATAAAATATTAATTTCGTATATTTTATTGAATTAAAGTCGAATATATTCGAATGTTTTCTACCTTATCAATGATTTGATTAATATTCTTATTCGAAAATAAAATCCTTGTTTTTTTCTCTTTATTTAATTTATTTTAAAAATATTTTATATTGTCAAAAAAAGTTATTTGACTTTTATTTTGTGATATTTATCATCAAGATATATTCGAACTATTATTTATACATAAAACTTTGTTTTTTTGTTTATCTAAATTCTAAATCTTCTATAATGAATTAGATTCATTTTCCTTGTCTAATCTTTGTCCCAGTATGATTAATTAAACTAACAAAGAATAAATATATTTGCCTCATTCAACTTTTACAAAAATCAACAGATGAATTAGAATAAAAAAAAATGTTTTATTATTTATAATAGGTTCCTTTTTTTATTCTCTATTCTAGAAAATGTTAAAATAGAAGATGAGATGATAAATTCTATCTTAAATAATAATATCAAAATAAAAATTCGATTATCAACAACAAAACAAGAGTCGAGTCATTTATTGACACCTTCCTTTTTTTCTATAGAATCACTAAAAACTTCCGACGATTTTTATACTTTTTCTTTTTACTCTCTTTCAATTTTTCAGTAAACATTTTTCTTTCTAATAAAGTAGTTCGACTAAAAACAAATATTTACATTGAGAATAACAAAAAAGATAAAAAAACTAACACTTTTTTCTATTAGATTTATCTTTATTTCAATAAAAAAAAACTTTATAAGAATGATAATAGTTTATGGAAATAGTTTAATAACTGTAAAATTAGATAAAATCGAACTGTCATCTTATTGATCTACAGTTAAAACCTTTATTATTGAGTACCTACTGATTATTGAACGCTTTTGAAAACTTTCAAAAATTGATTTTTTTATGGAAAAAATGCTCTCCATTAAATCCACATCTCCATACAGTCAACACTTTTTTTCGGTTCCGATGGTATTTCGATTTTGAAGACCATCAATAACCGAAAAAAAAAGCGTTGACTGTATGGAGATGTTCATTTTATAGAGGAGCATTTTTTTTCCATCAAAAATTGATTTTTAGGACTTTTGAAAAGCGTTCATAATTAGGAAATGTTTACTAATAGAGATTTTAACTGTAATTATAATAGTAAAACTAATCAAACAATTTCATATGTTGATTTATATTATCATTTTAAATTAGAAATTAAACTCAAATGACTTTTTACAGATTTTCATCTATAAATTTCTATTTATATTAGTACCAAAAATTCATATTTTTCCATTGATGCTAACTCGAACTTTATTCTATGTTCTACTGGAGAGTTACAACAGTTTTCCTAGAACTCTTCTTTTCAACAAATTAAACTTCGAAGACCTTAAAAGAGATTAAGACGAAGCTAATTTATTATTTTTGAAACTAATCAATAAACGACTAATAATAGTCTTAATCTAGGCGAATTACAATATATAATACTGTTTCATTTTAACATTAAGTTAAACTATATCACTCAATTATCGTTATATACCAGCTCGTTTATTGCATTAGTTGCTTTTTTTTTGTCTAAAACTACTTTGAATATATTCTACTGTTTAATTTTAACTTAATTCAATCATCAAAGATAATTACAAAGTGAATTTGATACCTTTCAAATCATTTCTTTTTCATATAAAAAAAAAAGCCAAGAATATTATCTTACGATCGAAGCAAATGAAAAGTTGTTTTACTCTGATAAAAATGATCTAATATATTCTATTATAATATCATCGAACAAATAAACAAACTTCTATTTAACTTCAACTATAATATAGATTATTTTATCTTTTATTTACAATATCTTATTTATCATTATCAACTTGTCTAACAAGAACAATTTTCACTATTGTTATCGTAATAATTCGATAAATCTCCTCTTAGGATTTCTATATGCGAGATCTCAGTAAAAGGAAGTTCGCAAAATAATGAACAAAGGTCTCTACTCGATTTATAATAAACAAACGGACGACAATAACTCTTTAATATGATTATTTTCATATAATTATATAAATTATTCAAATGAATTGTTTTCATTAAATGACAATAGAACATATGTTGATTATCTACGATCAAATATGTAACCCAATGTATTTATCACTCTGATGGATGTCGAAAATAAAATTTTATTTCGTAGCGGCAACGGATTATAGATCTATTCATACTACTTAAACAATGTTGATCTATGTTAAGAGAAAAGAAAATATTGAATTAAAGGATCTAGTCTATGTTACATAAAAAGTCTCTAGAAACAAATAAAAGTTTCGTTATTTTCAAGTTGAAAGATATTTATCTGCTAGTCAAATGAAAAAGAGACAAAGAATATTAGTTCGAAGAATCGATTGAACAAAAATTTTTCCTTGTCTTTTTTTCTCAAAACATTTTATTGTTTTGTTTTTATATTTTTTTTGCTGAAACTTTATGACAGATGAAAGAAAAAAAAAAGACATGAAACAGATACAATCTTTGTTTGTTTGTTTTGATTTCAAGATAAGGAACAATATAGACTCATAAAAAAAAAATCCACACACACACTCCCAAGTACGTATATATATATATATATATACGCTTTTCTTAAAGAATAACAACACGAACCAAAAAAAAAAAAAACAGTAGAGGGAGCCAAAAAAAAGACGGTAAAGTTGGAATGGTATCTCTGTATAGAATATGAATGAAAAAGAAAAACACAAGGATGATTTACGGAAACATCTCACTAGCTCAGTTATTGGATCTTATTCGAAATAAATGATCAAGAGTAAATGAACGAACAAAGAAAGAAAAAAGAAATATGTCGTTTTTATAAAATGGCTAAGATCAATCACCGAGCTTTCGTTAATGAGAATAATAATAAATATAAATTGGTTCGTTCGATAAATATTTCTATATTTATATTCTAAGATGATAATGATGATGAATCTTTAGCAACATATGTAAATAGATTATGTGCTGTTGCAATAGCAATAATATCATCTGTTGGATGATAAGCACAATGAAGAATTTTTTTTGAAAATTCTAAATTATCTGGATTTATTTCATCACGACGAGTACGACGAGCTGATTGAAGAACTTTTTTAGATTTTAATAATTGTCGAGGACGTATTGCTTGTTCACGTGATGATTCAAATATAACATCTTTTTGTG